TTTTTTTTTGTGTGTGTGTGTGTGGTACTAGGAATTAAACCCAGGGATGCTTGGCCACTGAGCCACATCCCCAGCTCTCTTTTTTATTTTATCTAGAAACAGAGTCTTGCTGAGTTGACCCCAGGCCTCGCTAAATTGCTGAGGCTGGCTTTGACCTTGCCATCTTCCTGCCTCAGCCTCCTGAGCCGCTGGGATTACAGGTGTGCACCACCATGCCCAGTACTACAATATTTTAATGATTACTTAATCATTTGTTGTATAAATGTAGTATAATTTATTTAATCTATTCCTCCTTATAGGCCTTAGGTTGTTTCTATAACTCCAGCCCTCCCCAGTCCTATTTTGTATTTTATTTAGATACAGGGTCTCCCTGAGTTACTTAGTGCCTCACTTTTTGCTGAGGCTGGCTTTAAACTCGCAATCCTTCTGCCTCAGCCTTCTGAGACGCTGGGATTACAGATATGCACCTCTGTGCCTGGCTGCAGCAGTTATTTTGAATGAAAGGCTGTGGATTCATTTCCTTCTTTCTTTTAGTCTCTCTTTCAGTTGCCTGAATTTCGAAGACTTGTTCTCAGCTATAATCTTCCACAAAATGTTCTTGAAAAATGCCGAAGCCACACGGTAAGCTTCTGCTGAGGAGTTTCTTTATCTCATTTAGCTTCTTTCATCTTAAAGCCTTTTAAGTTTTTGACTCAAGATGATGACCATAATTCTCTTTGGCTCTTGCTAATATTTGTTTTCATTTCTAAGTGACTGTTTTCCTTATTTGTAATAAGAAATAAGGATTTGCAAAAATAGTAAATTAAGTAGGAATGAAGTTAGAAACACTTCCAGGAAAGTGTGGTAAGCCACCTGCTAGCCTCAGCAGTGCTTCCTGGGATAGGGACACTCAGAACACCTATTTTATGTGTAGTGTCCTTCCCTCTGCCATTGACTGCTCAGGTCAAACAATGCAGAATAGACAACCCAGTGAAGAGGCTTGGACCTTCTTAGAAGAGATTTTAGTCTGCTCTTGCCATAGGGCAGGCATAGTCTCCTCCCAGCCATCTAAACCTTGCCTGGATTTCTCCTTAGTGTAATCCAGTCTTCTGACAGAGGGAAAGCAGAAGCTTCAGAAAATGGATGTATCTGTCTTTCCAGCAATATTATCTCTTTGGCTTCTATATGATTATTCTTCAGTTTCGAGTTAAACCTGTAGGCAAGTCCTTATTAGAATCTCTGCGACGTAGTTTGAGGCCTGAGACTCTGACTTAGAACTAGGTAAATACGAATTAGAGATTATTTAGAACTCTTTTCTTTATATTTTTTAATTTTCCAAGAAAGATGTTATAAGAGTACATATGGCTCTATTTTCTGTAGGAAAAGAGAAATATCGTCTTTATGCAAGAGCTTCAGTATTTGTTTGCTCTGATGATGGGATCAAATCGAAAATTTGTAGACCCTTCTGCTGCCCTGGATCTGCTAAAGGGAGCATTCCGATCCTCAGAGGAACAACAGGTACTAACTAGGAACCTTGTTCTCATTTTCTCTGAAACTCTCCAGTTAGAAGTCATGTCCTATTACTGTTACCATGACATTGCTTATTTCAAATGTGTGACAAGTTGTGAACATGACTAAGCAGGACTATGGGTGCTAGTTTTTGTATTTATTTTGCTCACAGAACAGGTGGTAAGAATGCACCTGGGAGACAGAGAGATGAAGAGAATGTGTTTTATGTAGGGGGTTGTTTGCAGTTCTTAAGGGAAGAAGAAGTAAAAAAAAGAATAGTAGACTTACTCAGAGATTGAAGCAAAAGGAAGGAGGTTGAAAAATATCTAAAAGTGAGCCATAGCAAAGGGTGACTGAGAAAAGTGACCCCTACCTTTGTTTTAGGATGCCCCAGATAGAAATGCTATTTTTAAAATCATCTACACCTGAAGTTAGTAGCTTTTCTGAGCACTCTTTTTTTTTAAGATATTAATATTTTCCTTTCACACCTCCTAATTAAAAAGCAGAACTGTCCCTATTTGATCAGCTTCTTCATAACATACATTTAAAAACTTTTTTTCCTGCAGCTATATAGCATTCTCAAAACATTGTATAAAAGTTGCCTTTCTCTGTTCCAATCTCACGTTGTTCTGGAATACTACAGTCTGTTCTTTGAGCCTTAAAAAAAAAGCCTACTTAGAAGATTTCGTTTGTTTTTTCTTTGTCAAAATCAGATGCCGTTGGAAGTGGTAGAATTCCAGTATCCTAGGCACAGTTTAGTCAGAGGTTGCTTCATGCACCTTCTGTTTTGTCTCTGGTTGCTGGGTTCTCCTTATTTTTGTGACATTTGGCCCTAAAAAATAAATGCCTTCCTAGTAGTAGAATCTTAATTCATTGCGGGGATTAAGGGCAAGCTTTCATTTCCCTAAGTATACTATTGCATCTAACGCTTATGCAATTTGTGCCTCTCTTATAGCAAGATGTGAGTGAATTCACACACAAGCTCCTGGATTGGTTGGAGGACGCATTCCAGCTGGCTGTTAATGTTAAGTGAGTGTTGAGGGTCTGTACATCCTTCCAACTCACAGTGGCCACTGAGAATACTGATATGGGGGAAAATCATTCTTTTTAAGTAGAAATTGCTGCTGTTGTTTTGTTTCTGTTTTTACCAAGCCTCACAGGATAACCGATGAACTTTTTCTTACATATCTCTATCGCTTAGGCTTTCCTCCTCTGTGAATATAGACAATTCCATTAACCTACAACTTTTTTACTAAAGGGCCCTAACTGATTACCTTTATTGAAGTTATAACCTGTGCTTATAAAATGTATCTCAAAAAAGGTAAACCATGCTGCATAGGAGCTCATTCTTACTCTATACTACTTCTGTACTTTGTATACATCTGTCATTGAACATAGATAGATACAGATATATATGTGTGTGTACATATGTATACACACACACACATAGTGCATACAAATACATGTATTTGTCTGCATGTGTGACTCCCTTAATAGACTTATTTAAAGCTCCTTAAGGCCAGGGATCGTGCCTTATTGTCTTTGTGTCTTCAGCACAGTGCCAAGCATATTGTTCAATAAATGTTTCAGCTGAGCTAATTCATTATTTATTGTAGAATATACCTGGGCTGGTTCTTTGTGATTGATAAAAGTGCACTACTTTTGTTTTTGAATGATGCTTGGGTTTTGTGTAGCACAATAATTTAGAATTGTCTTCCTTTTTAAAAAGCAGCAACCCTAGAAACAAATCTGAAAATCCCATGGTGCAGCTATTCTACGGTACTTTCCTGACTGAAGGGGTTCGTGAAGGTAAATTTTCTGCCTCAGATGTTAATTCTAGACCTGTTACCATATCCTTATAATTCTGTCCTCTTAGGGAGGTAGTGTAATAAATAGACTTGAAAGTCAGAGAAACCTAGATCTGCATATTGGTTTTGCCTCTTAGTGTCTATGGAATTATGGAATTATATGAGCTCCTGGTTCCTCAATCTCTTTAACTGTAAAGCAGGCACAATCCTTATAGTTGTTATATTAAATTGTTTAATATTTGCACAGTCCAATTTAGCATTAATATCAGATGCACAGTGATCTTAATTCCATTTTCTCTGTTGATATTTCTGATATAATAATTTAATCTCAAAAAGTTATATTAAGTTAAACTTCCAGAAATACTCGTCAACTCTGGAGGCTTGCCTGCTGCATGCTGGACACATAATGTTTATTCTTTTTTTTTTTAAACCAGGGAGAACTTTAAAGGCATACAAATAGAGTAGTATCAAAAAGCCTCTTGAATTCAATAGCTGCATTAGCCCACACCTAGTCATTCTCCATCTAACCCCGTTCTACTTTTACTCTGATAGTCTTTTTATTTTTAAATCAATCAGTCGATCTATCTATTTATTTATTTATTTGGAATTGAACACAGAAACTTTATGCTTGGTAAGTGTGCACTCAGTCACTGAGCTACCTCTAGCCCTTGATAATGTTTTAAAATAGAACCCATTTACTTCTCCCAAAAGTAGCATTTTTTAAAATATCAGATATCTAGTCAGTATTTAAATTTCCAATTCATTCATTTATTGATTGATTGTGGTATTGGGGATTGAACTAAGACACTGTACCACTGAGCTGTACCCCCTACCCCTTTTTATTTTTTAATTTTATTTTGGGAAGTCAGTACTGGGAATTTAACTCAAGGGTCACTCAACCCCTGAGCCACATCCCCAGCTCTATTTTGTATTTTAATTAGAAACTGGTCTCACTGAGTTCCTTGGTGCCTTGTAATTGCTGAGGCTGGCTTTGAACTTGTGATCCTCATTAGCCTCCAAGAGGGCTGGGATTACTGGTGTGCACTGCTGCTCCTGGACCCTTTTTATTTTTGGAGACAGGATCTCACTAAGTTGCCCATGCTGGCCTTGAGCTTGCAATCCTCCTGCCTAAACCTGAATCTCTGGGATTACAAATGTGAGCAACCACTCTTGGCTTTCATTGCATAATTTTTTAAAGAAAAGTTTATATTTGTTTTTGTTCAATCAAGATCCAAATGTGATTCATTGGATGTCTTAAGTCTCCTTTCAATATCTATAGACTGCCTCCATTTTTTTTTTTCTTGAAGTATATGTTTTGGAGAAACTTGTTTTCCCAGAGCCTGAAATTTTACTGTTTGCATTCCCATGATACATTGACTGATTGATTGATTATTTTATTGATTTTTTAAAAAAATAAATATCAGCAGAATGCATTATAATTCTTATTACACATATACAGCACAATTTTTCATATCTCTGGTTGTACATAAAGTATGTTGACACCAATTTGTGTTTTCATACATGTACTTTGGATGGTGATGTCTATCACATTTTCACCATCCTTTCTAAAATCCCTTGCCCTCTTCTTTTCCCTCCCACCCCTCTGCCTTATCTAGAGTTCCTCTATTCCTCCCATACTCCCCCTCCCTACCTCACTATGAATCAGTTTCCTCCCTTGATACACTTAACACTGTCTTTTACTCTTGTAAATTGATAGTTGGATCTAGATCTTTGGACTCAGTCAGGTAAGGGTATTCCTGGCAAGACTTAATTCACAAGTGGTGGGATAGTCTTTGATATAGATAGGCATATCTTCGTTTTTGCCTTGGCAGCAATTGTTGATTGTCCAGGTCTGGATCCACTGGCACATTAGAGGTTGCCCACCAGGCTGAAGTGCACTACTAACCAGAACTTGGAAGGCTGCTAAATTTAAGAAATTACTGTCTGTCTGGAGCCAGAAAGTAGTTTTTACCTAATTGTCTGTGATGGCGTTTAAAAAGGTGTCTCTCTTTTTGCCTAGGAAAGCCCTTTTGTAACAATGAGACCTTTGGCCAGTATCCCCTCCAGGTAAACGGTTATCACAACTTACACGAATGTTTGGAAGGGGCCATGGTGGAGGGTGACATTGAGCTTCTTCCTTCTGAGCATTCTGTGAAGTATGGACAAGAGGTAAGGTGCATAGTTTTACTTGCTTTGTTGATGACAAAACCAATTAATTGTAGGACTGAACATGTAGGCAAGCTAGTTTCCCATCACATATTAAGTAACTTTACACTGAATAGAGTTTGAATTTGTCTTAAGTCTCTCATCATTGATGTGAGTCAGTGATTCTCAGTGCTTTGATAAATAAATTCTTCACTAAAACTATGAATTTGAGTTAATCATGTAAAGGTTATATGCTGCTTCTGATATTTTAAGTATGATCAAGTTTCTCTCTTTTTGTTGAAGCCTACCTGTACCTGAGTAGGGAGAACCCACTGCCTCCATATTTTCGGAGGGTAAAAGTACAGTGATTAACTCCTATGGTATGCCATTTAGAATATTTTCCCTATTATGGTATTTATTGTTCTCAATTGTAAATTCTGCCTTTGCGTTTACAATTTTTTAAATTTAACTTTTATTTATTTATGTGGGGTTTTTGTTTTTGTTTTTTGGTGGGTTGGAAAGAAAGTGGGAGCAGGAGTAATTAATATTTTACATTTCCAATGGAGAAAAATTATTTGTAGCATGATTGTCAACACAGCATAGTTTGCCTCCAAAAATTGTGAGACAAAATTGTAGCTTGTACAAGAGTCCAACTCAGGAATTACTGTAGGGGAAAGAAGGCGCTTTCTTGAACTCTAGGGAGCCTAACATTAGCCTTCACGTATTCTCATTAAGCTGCGTTGAAACTCTTGAGAAAGCACTGTTTCTCCAGCCTTCAAAGGAAAGAAGTTCTACCAGGAGGCCTAGCATCTTTGTAAGCCTGATGCATTTTCTTACACAAGAGAGGGAGTGGCCACTAGCTACTCAGGCCTCAATATTCAAGGCCTGAAACTATGAAAACAAGTCATTATGCTTATTTATTTTTAGATTTAACCCTGAGGCAGTCAGTCTTGTCTGGATGCACCTTTTAGTGCCAACAGAGCAACTGAGGGGGGAACACTGTTTGTACCATTAGCAAAATAATGGTTTTGAAGCTGTTCATAGGAACCTTTGCCATACAGGTGAATTAAACAGAAATGCCTTTCCTCCCTAGGATTAGTGACAGTTGAACTTTTTAAGTCAGTGTTTTTCTTCCTTGAAACTCTCTAGATAACAGCTACCCTACCATTTTAGATCAACTTGATTGTGTGTGTGTTGTGTGTGTGTGTTACTAGAATTGAACCCAGATCCTTGAACATACTAAAAGCAAGCACTCCACCACTAAGTTACATTCCCAACCCTTCACTTGCTTTCTTATGAGACATCTGTACATTGGAATTTAGGGTTGTTGTTTTTCCCCTTCAGAATCTTGAGGAATCATAAAATCATGAAGCTATTTCAAGTTTCCTTTTTAGACATAAAGGGAATTCAAATTATGGATAAAAGAATATAAATAGTGTTTAATATATGTATAATATCAGTCTTCTTAGATGATTCCTGCAGTTATCTCCTTAGTTGTATGCTGTTTAGATCATTATTTCCAGTTCTTTGATTAGGCTGTTTTCTTAAGCTTTTGAACCTTGTTTTTGAATATTGATTGACTCATTTAATGAAAGAATTGTATAGATGCTTGGTCAATTCATATACTCAGGGCAGTTATTTCTAAGAGTGATGATTGAATAAAATGCTGTTGATTGGTGTTTAGAATCTTGAGAACTGTTTAATCATATTCTCTTAGAGCATGATTCTAAGTGTTTATTTTCCTTTAATATTGGGGATAAAAAATGTTAGTATGAGCTTGATTTGAATAATTCTATATCACAAGAATAAAGTTTGATGAGGGATATTTTAAATTTATTGCTGTTGCCTAAAATTAGTGTTACTTTTTCTCATATTCCACCCCGGAACATAGCGTTGGTTTACAAAACTACCTCCAGTGTTGACCTTTGAACTTTCCAGATTTGAGTTCAATCAGTCCCTTGGGCAGCCAGAGAAAATTCATAATAAGCTGGAATTTCCTCAGATTATTTATATGGACAGGTAAGATTCTGGTTGATTGTCTCCTGATGTAATGCAACAGTAGAAATGAACATATAATCTTTTGTGGTCTTGATAATTTGCAAATTTGGATGTGGTGGATCTGGGTTGGGGCCTAGGCATTTTCATTTCTAACAAGCTTCCAAGGTAATGTAAATAATGGTTCTGATCTCTGGACCAAGATTTGAATTGCTAGACTGCAGGTGAAAGTCCTACTGTTTTGGCAGTAAGGAACCTTATATGGAGTAGCCATAATATAGTTCTTTTTCTTCTGAATACTCTCTGTATTCCTGGAGTGGTGATAGAGGGACTCCTAGAGAAACTTAAATTACAGTTTTAATCTCTTTACAGTCTGATTTAATGAGGTACAGTTGACATCCCCAAAGTCACTATTCTTTGGTGTAGTTCCAGTATGTTTTTGTTTTTGTTTTTGTGGTGCTGAGGATTGAACCCAGGGTCTTATGGATGCAAGGTGAGCACTCTATCAACTGAGCTATATCCCCAGTCCCACCAATATGTTTTGACAAATATAAATAAATAATCAAATAACCACCATCATAGTCATGATAGAGAACCTTTCTATAACCTAGAATATCCCCTCTGCCCCTTTGTAGTCAGTTCCTTTTTCCCACCTCCAGGCTTTGTCAACCACTTTTTTTCTGAAGCTATAATTTTGCCATTTCCAGAGTGTTGTGTTAGTGACATTAATATTTAATATGTACTCTATTATGGCTATATTCTTTTCCTTAGGATAATGCTTTAGGATTTACCTATGTTGCATATACCAATAGTTCATTCCTTTTGTTGAACAGTACTTTTTTATTTGTTAATTTTTTAGTGCTAGGGATTGAACTCAGGGACTTGCACAGCCAAGTATATGCTCTTCCTCTGAGATACATCCCCAGCCCCTGTTTAATAATGTTTTATTGTATATATGTATCACAGTTTTTTTCTATTCACCAGAAATATTGGTTGATATTTCAAATGTATGCAGTTTTAGACTATTATGAATAAAGCTGCCATGGGCATTAACATACAGGCTTTAGTGTAGTTTTTAATTATCTTGAATAAAATATCTAGGTGTGGATGTTGATGGGTTATATGTAAAGTGTACATTTCTCTTTTTAAGAAATTATTGTACTGTTTCCTAAAGTGATTATGTAATTTCATGTTCCCACCAGTAGACTATGAGAGCTCCAATTTGCCAAATCTTCACCAGTGCTTGGAATTAAGTCTTTTTAATTCTAGATATTCTAGATGTGTATAAATATTGTATTTTTCATTTGCTTTATAATTTCCTTATAAGTAATTATATTGAGCATTGTTGGGGGGGTGCTAGGGATTGAACTCAGGCCTTTGTGCATGTGAGGCAAGCATTTTACCAACTGAGCTTTATTCCCAGATGTTGAGCATTTTGTTGTGCTTAATTAATAGTCATGTATGTGTGTGGTTTGGGTTTTTGTTTGTTTGAGATATCTTCACATCTTTTGTCTACTTTACAGTTGAGTCAGTTGTCTTAGTACTGAATTGTAAGAGTTCTTTACTATTTTGGTTAGAAATCCAAATATTTTTTCTCTCTGCTTGTCTATTTTATTACCACCAGTGTCTTGAAGAGTAGAAGTTAGGATTTTGATGAAGTCTAGTGTATCATTTTTTTTTTTAAGTTAGTACTCTTTATGTTCAAGAAATTCTTGCAAGGTCACAAAGATGGTCTGATTTTTTTTCTCCTAGGAATTTTGTTTTAGCTTTCATATGATGTCTATAGCTCATAGCCCTTTTTATCTTTTATTTTGAGACTGGGTCTTGCTGAGTTGCTGAGGCTGTCTTTGAACCTCAATCCTCCTATCTCAGCCTCCTGAGCTGCTGAGATTACAGTTGTGTGCCACAATGCCTGGTTAGTTGTACATTTTTCATAGATGTCCTTTATCTTATTAAAGGAATTTTCTTGTTTCTCTAGTATTTGTTTATTGGTGTGTTATAATTATACATAGTAGTGGGATTCATTGTGTCATTTTTGTACATGCATATAACATAATTTGGTCAGTCTGAATCCCTGGTACCTTTAATCCCTGGTACATTTTAATTAGTGCATCATATCTTTATATATAAGTGGGATTCATTGTGGTATATTCATACATGGACATAGTACTATTTGGTAGATTTCCTTTCATTTCTTAACATTACAGAGGGTTTGTGTCATTAATTGTGTTTGTGGGATTATCATTTGCTTAGGTACATGTACAGGAGCAAGGAGCTTATTCGAAATAAGAGAGAAAGTATTCGAAAGTTGAAGGAGGAAATAAAAGTTCTGCAGCAAAAATTGGAAAGGTAAGTTTGTGATACTTTTGTGCTTGGAAATAAATAATGAAGAGTAGAATATGAAGATAGGGTAATTGTTTATATTTGAAAGTTAATTTAGAATTTAAGTAATAACTAGGTATTCCATAAAATAGCTAAGATTTTTTTTTCCCCCCTAAGGGTGAAGTAAACCTTTTGGACCCACTAATATTATCCATGGGTAAAAGATAGTTCCAGAGGATTTAAATGACCAAAAGTCACAAGTTAGTTATTGGCAGTATACTTAGGACAACCCATGTTCTCATTTTATGTATATATAGCTTTCCACTTTTTCTACTCCCTCTGCTGTCTTTACAAACATAAGAGAAGCAACTGTCACATTGCTCCATTTCACTTGTCTAGGGACAGCAAATTCTAAAGTATCCAAAAAAAGGAAAAATAATGCTGTTTTACCTAGAGTGGTGCTGATTAAAAGGGCTAATATAAATTTATGATTCATACAAGGTTCCTTCCTTTATGGAGAAATCTTCGCTTTTTTAAAATTTAGTATTGACTTTTAGTGGAATCACCCTGATTTTCTTATGAGTATTGAATGCAGTTTCCTTCTAGTCTAGGTGGATTCCATTGTCTTTGTATTTTCAAAGGAAATCCCATACAGTGGCTTTCCCCCTTCATCTATTTAACCATTTGTCTCCTCCCACTGTCCTACTTCTACTCACTTCATTGATTAAGCATTCCTTTCCCTGAGAGGTAGCACTTTTTATTCCAGGCCCACAGCAGATTCTGCACCCCTCACCTTCCTTTCATCCAGGACGAACTTTTCCAGTATGTATTTGTCTGAATAGAGACTTAACACTGAATATTACCTCCTCAAATACTGTCCTGGTAGTTTTTGATTTATAGGACTTCAAGTATGGCAGTAATTTATTTTAGTGTGTTAATGATACTCTGCAATACTAATAGTTTTTAAAAATTATTATTTTTTTAATATTTATTTTTTAGTTGTAGTTGGACACAGTACCTTTATTTTATTTATTTATTTTTATGTGGTGCTGAGAATCGAACCCAGGGCCTTGCATGTTCTAGGCAAGCACTCTACTGCTGAGCCACAACCCCAACCCTTAAAATTACTTTTACAGGACAAAACATGCTTGATATTTTATAACATAGGAGGAACCAGGAACTGATAAAGTATCTGGTTTATTCCGATTTTTTTTCTTTTTAAATAAAAAGGAATCTTATTGCTTTGCTTGCAAAGAAGAAACAGAGGACTTCTGTCACAGAGTCTGTGATTCTGCCCATTAGAGGGAAGAAGGGGTTTTTAAAGAAGTGATTTCACGTGTTCCCTATCCAAAGTTGTAATTCACTTGTTAATTTGGGAGATAGTCATTTCTCACTGGTGCCATCCCTGAATTATTTAGATTTTAAAATAGAGTACAGGAACATTTTTCTTAATATAATATTACTATTGTTTTCTTAGTATAATATTACTATTGAAATAGACTTTCAATTTCAGGGTTTTGTTTTTGTTTTTGTTTTTCTTGGCAGAACTGGGGATTAAATGTAGGGGCACTCTACCACTGAACTGCATCCCCAGCCCCTTTTTATTTTTTTAAGACTGTGTCTCACCAAGTTGCTGGCCTTGACCTTGAGGTCTCCTACCTTAGCTTTCTGGGTTTCTGGGGTTATAGGTGTGCACTACTGTGTCTGGCTAGATAATTTCATTATTGCAATGTTTATTATTATTATTATTGTAATAATTGTATTAGAGGTCTGTGACTTTTAAGGTTTGTTGTGTACTTTTTTATATTTGCATTTTTTAAAACCAGGGGTATAGATTACTTTTACTGTTGAAGAGTAAAAATTTTAGGGCTGGGGATATACATCTGTAGGTAGAGTGCTTTCCTCACATGCACAGGGCCCTAGATTTAATCCCCAGCACCATGCATACACACACACACACACACACAACAAATGTTTACCATTTTTCTCTAAGATTACCTTGATATAATATTGAAAATAAGATTCCTGGTATACAATATAATTACCTTTTTTCAGATAACTTTTGCTCTGATTCTGCTAACCAGATCAGGTACTGCATTGTATGAAGTTGGCCCTAAAAATTGTCTAAAGGAATATAGTAGAAGAACATAAAAATAATTATGTCATAAAATTAAAAACAATTTCTTAGAGAAGATTTTTCACTGGTGTGTTATATAAGTACTGTATTAAAATGCAACAAACTTCCAGGCATAGTAGTACACACCTGTAATCCCAGTGACTTGGAAGGCTGAGGCAGGAGGATCTCAAGTTCAAGGCCACCTCAGCAATTTGGTGAGGCCCTGTCTCAAAATAAAAAATAAAAAGGGATGGGGTTGTATCCAGGGTTGTCCTGGGTACAATGCCCAGTACCACCCAAAAAGAAGAAAAGAAAAAGCAACAAATTTAGGAAGAATTAAAGATGTAAAATGATGGCTTATAATTTTATAATGATTACTAATGCTGTATTGTGTATGAAGTTCAGAAGACCAGCAGAGTTTAGATAATCTGATAATAGCAGAAGTGATGGCAAGGAAATATGTCTAAGAAATAGAGCAGTTCTCCAAGGATTTTCTGCCTTTACATATTTGAGATCCTTTTCAATTAAAGCAGTATCTCTCTTTGGCAGGCAGATTCTATTTCTTCTTTAAATTAGTGAAGATGAAGAGGTATGATTGATCTCTTTCTGCCTTTGCTAAGATAGCCTTTGCAGTCTGTCCTCTAATATGTGGTTGACTTTGAGTTGCACTGTCCTTTATTTTCCAGTGGTATTTTCATTTTATAATGTCCAATTTGGGTTTAGAAACAGACAGTTTTCTACCTGTTTCGTACTTGTTACTTTCTTCTACTGTATTTAAAGAAGAAAACTGAAGTGACTATTCTTTTGTAAAATGGAAACCCAGAGTTATGGGATTACCTATGGGAACCAGTCAGGTTGATTATCATACCATTCAAACTCTTATCTACTTTAGTGAACTTAAGAATTCATTAAACTGTATCTCTTTAGTGAGTCTAAAGTAATATGCTAATAATGGTAGAATATTAGATATTAATGTATTTTATTATTATTTATATTGAAATCTTCAATAATTTAGCCTGGCCTGTGCCATTGAATGAGTGTATGAATAATAGGGTACTTAAGATGCTACATAAGAGCCATTTGCCAGTTTTCTTAGTCTCTGGTCTTTATCAGTACATCATTCTAATTTCTAGACTTCTTTCTTGTATTTTTCTCAATTGTGAAATAGTTGGTCCAAAGGGCAACAAAGAAAAAACCCTTGAGTGGTAGTTCACTAGAATTATTTTTCAGATTTGAGTACTAGTAACTAGTACTCAAATATATAGTTACAAGATAATCTGATAATAGCAGAAGTGATGGCAAGGAAATATGTCATACCTCTTCATCTTCACTAATTTAAAGAAGAAATAAAATCTGCCTGCCAAAGAGAAATACTGCTTTAATTGAAAAGGATCTCAAATATGTAAAGGTAGAAGATCCTTGGAGAACTGCTCTATTTCTTAGACATATTTCCTTGCCATCACTATTGCTATTATCAGATTATCTAGTAACATATATATATTCTGTTAAAAATGATTTATTTTTATGACCAGATCTTAAATGCAAAATGACAGCAAGAAAAGACATATTTGGCATGATTTTGATTATGATTTGAAATGTTTCCTACCAGATAGAAAGCATTTAATTGTTACATTTTTACTTTCATTGAAAATTTTTCTTTATAGATTGTTCAAGTGACCTATGAAATATTGTATGCCTATAGGAATAAACTTTTCTACTGACCCTTCACATGATAGACCTTTTGGCAGCAAGTCTTAAAAACACAAAACTTGGGCAGTGGAGTACCATTGTCTTTGCCTCTTAGGTATGTGAAATATGGATCGGGCCCCACTCGGTTTCCACTTCCAGACATGCTGAAATACGTTATTGAATTTGCCAGTACAAAACCTGCTTCAGAGAGCTGTCCATTGCAAAATGACACGTGTATGAGGTTACCACTTCCTTCAATGCACTGCCCGGTTTCTGACCTGACATCTAAGGAAAGGTAATGAAAACAAATTTTTTAAAATGGTATGTATTGATTTTTCTGGTTTAATTTAACTATGCACCAGCTTTCCACCTAATGAGCAACTCACTCCACCAGAGCTCAAGGAGCTGTAAGATTTTCCCTACTGTTGCTTGAGTGACAGTGTTCGTAATTCCCTCCAGTGCACTTATCTTGCCCCCAGGATGGGTGGGATAGTTCCAGAAGTTTCTTCCTGTCTGGGAATGTGTTCGTACTCTTCAAAGACTATTTTGCTGTGAGCCAGCTACCACTAAAGACCTTTCTCCCGAAGGTTAACCTCTGTTCTTCCAAAATCTCTTATTTTCCCATCTACTGTGAAGTTAGTAGGGCTAAGTAAACATCAAGGAAAGAGATGTATTCATGAGTAGAGAATTAAAACATGAGACAGACTGGTTAGGAATTGAAGAGGACAGCTAATTGCAGTGGTGTGTGCCTGTAATCTCTGCATCTCCAGAGGCCAAAGCCAGAAGATCAAAAGTTTGAGTCCTGTTTCCACAATTTAGCAAGACCCTATCTCACAAGGGCTGAGGATGTAGCTCCGTGGTAGAATACCTCTGGATTCAATCCCTAGTACTGCCCTATCCCCCTCAAAAAGAAAGAGAAAGGAAGGGAGGGAGGGAGGAAGGAAGGAATTGAAGAGGACAGACTAGAGGGTTGTGTGTGTATATATATTGAAGAAACAGGGAGGCCATGTCAGAATGGCCTTCTGATTGTATAATAATCTTTATAACTTAAAGGAGCCAGTAGGGTCAGCCTGGATCACATTTGATATGTGTGTGTCATGGCTAATTAAAAATTTCAGTATTCATTTTCCAAAAAGGACTTTAATATAAAAAACTAATCATTCTCCCTAACCCTCCATATTAATAAATATTAGTATGTTATTTGATTTTAAATTTATAGGGATGTGTGCATGTGTAAGACCTTGTCTGGAATTGAAACATCTGCTTTCTTGCTTATGTGGGGCTTAGTTTTCTATATTTATGTATATATGGGTCCTCAGGGGAAACAGGCTTCCTTTTAAATCAAAACTAAAGGAACTGTAGTTTCAAGTAACCTATGAAATATTACTTTGTATTCCTACTGGTATGTCTATATGTAGTTTTACTCTGATGATAATTGATTAGCAAGTAAATTAAAATTTTCAAAAGTTCTTTAAACGAGAAATTTTTATTTGAGGCTGATCCCCTTTCCTTGGGCATTTAGCTTAGGAGTAGGAGAGTTGGAATTCTTGACATGAGGCCCTATTCTCTGAGTTCTCCCAAGTGGCCAGCCATCTAGTGTATGTTCTTCATTTTTCTTGTTTTTGTGAATTTTGTTCCTAGACGAGGTGTTTCACTTTACTCAGTTACATTTTGGAAACTGTCATTAATTCCTTGTTCCTTCTAGTCCTAGCCTTCTCCTTCCATCTTCCTTCTGGTCATTCTTCATGAGGAGCATTGTAATTAGTGATTAAAGAACATTAACCATAAACTCAGGCAAAAATGGGCTTAATGCTTTTCCATCATTGTTAAATTGCTTAATTTCTTTAAACATTAGGTTTGTGCTTAATAAAATAGGGAGAAGTGATAGTATCTGCTTCATAACCAAGTTGTGTTCAATGAGATGATTCAACTGGTCACAGTGGCACATGCCTGTAATCCCAGTGATTTGGGAGGCTAAGGCAGTAGGATTTCAAGTTCAAAGTCACCATAAGCAACCTGTCAAGACTCTGTCTTAAATAAAAAAGGAGCTGATGGTGCATGCCTGTAATCCCAGAAGCGCTTAGGAGGCTGAGGCAGGAGGATCTTGGGTTCAAAGCCAGCCTCAGAAAAAGCAAGGCACTAAGTGACTCAGTGAGATCCTGTCTCTAAATAAAATACAAAATAGGGCTGGGGATGTGGCTCAGTGGCTGAGTGTTCCTGAGTTCAGTCCCTGGTTACTCACTACCACCACCACCAAAATAAAAATATAAAAAGGGATGGAAATGTGGTTCAAAGGTTAAGAGCCCTGGGTTTAAGTTCTGGTACCAAAAAGGGGGGGGGGGATGATTCATGTAAGAAAAATTTTGGCTTTGTATCTTTATAAGGTTAATATTAAATACTAAATAAACTAAAATAAATTAAATACTAGCTGTGCTTTTCCATTTATCAGCTTATTTTCCAAAGCACATTAATTTAGGCTAAGATATATTTTGGAAATTATCATATGAGCATGATTTTTGTCTTCCTTTAGTACAAGTCCAGAATGCTCTTCTCAGGATGTTGAAAGTACCTTTTCTTCTCCTGAAGACTCTCTACACAAGTCTGAGGTAGCAAGTAGGCCCCTAACTTCCCCTCGGTCTTCCCTGGGAATGCCTGCACACCCAGCTCCTCGAACAGTCACGGATGAGGAAAAGAACTTTGTTAAAACCTGTCTTCAGAGATGGAGGAATGAGATTGAACAAGATATACAAGGTTGGCATTTTTAAAACTTGTCAACTAATCTTTGCCTTTTCTTGGTTGAATATTTGGAAGCTGGGTACCCTGGATGCACTTCCTGCTATTACCATACAGGCTGTTGAATTTTGACTCAGTAATTGTGATTTCTTTTTCACCTTTTATGCCCTATGCTATTGGTTCACTCCCCCATTATATAGCTGTGGAAAGATGACTCCAAGATTCCCTCTTCAAAATTTCTGGTAATCTGTAGAAACTTAAACACACATGATTATTTTTGCTCAGGTCTGATTACCTTTCCTTCTTCCTCTATCCCTCCTATCTCTTCTCCATTCTTTTTTCCCTTTTCCACCCTTTCTTCTTCCTTCCCTCATTTTTTTCCTTGTCTCCCTTCCCTTCCCTTCCCTTCCCTTCCCTTCCCTTCCCTTCCCTTCCCTTCTTTGTTTGCTTGCTTGCTTTCTTGCATTTTTTTCATCTTTATCAGAGTACTGGGCATCAAACCCAGGGCTTCCTGCATGCTGTGCACATGCAGTGCTACTGAGCTAAATCCCAAGTACATAATTTTCTGTTTGATCATTTCTGTTCCTACAGTAGTTTTTCAGACCTTGGTTTCAGTTGATCCAATCTTAGAATTTTTGGATTTCTTCTTTTAAGTCTTTTCCATGTAAAGCATGCTGTACTGAAGTTTAATGGGGCAATGAATATTTAGGTTTTGTACATGATGTAAAATTGAATTATTCATCATTTTGTTTTTAAAAGTCCTTTGGTCTCATTGCCTTAATGCTCAGATTATCCCTTCCCTTTCTTTCTCCTTTTATTTAAGGAGCAAAGAGACAAGTAAAACTTGAAATTCCTCCCAAGTTCTTATTCAGAGAAATATAGCCCTACCTTTTTTATCCTTTTTTTTTTTTCAGATCCTATCACTGAGACATAGTATTTTATGCCCAACTTAATTTCCTAATAAAGTTTCCTCTTTTAAACATTTTAGCTGGGCACAGTGGCACACATCTGTAATTCTAGTGACTAGGGAGGCTGAGGAAGGAAGATTCAAGTTTAAGGCCAAACTTAGTGACTTAGTGAGGCCCTAAGAAATTTAGCAAGACCCTGTCTCTATTAAAAGTTGAAAGTGGGGGATGTGGCTTAGTGGTTAAATACCACTGGGTTCAATCCTCAGTACTAAAAGAAAAGAAAAGGAATATTGGTATCAGTTTTAAAAACTAATTTAAAAAACCCTTCATAACCTAAAACATGAGCTGCTTTAAAACTGTTACTACTTTGTGGTTCACAGCAGGAAATCGAAATCATAAGAACTTTGTATACACTTAAGCAATACTGTCTGCTTAGCTGAGTGAGTTGATTTTAACAAAGTGTTCTTTTTTAACAGATTTAAAGAGTTGTATTGCAAGCGCCACCCAGACTATTGAGCAGATGTACTGTGATCCTCTCCTTCAGCAGGTTGGAATAAAAATGGTGGGAAAAGAGTCATGGCATGTGCTAATCGTAGATGCAACAGGAAAATATGATGTTTTTCTTTTAAACAAATAGGAATTTTCCTGAAATATGAGAATAAACTTGAGCCAGTGTGGTGACACACAACTATAATCCCTGCTACTCAAGAGGCTAAGACAGGAGGATTGCAAGTTTTAGGCCTGCCTGGGTAACTTAGCAAGATGCTGTCTAGAAATAAAAAGGACTTGGTGTGTGGCTCAGTGCTATAGTGCCCTAGGTTCAGTCCTTAGCACCACACACTCAAAAAAGAATTGAACAAGATAGATACTGATTCCTTTGATTAGGTTAAAGAAAGCAATGTATCTTTTGCCTGCAGTAGAACCTAAAACATCATTGTTTTGATTCTGCCATGTGGTATCTTTCATCTTGTAGAAAGGTTTATTTTCAAATATTAATAAACATTTCTCACAAAATTGTAATTTAAGGAGTTCAGTGGGGGGAAAATGACTTAGGAACCAATTATCCATCAATTTTAAGAGTACCATGGTCCTTTGAGAACCTTTTTTAGCAGTGTGCTTTCAAGCTTTGTATCTTGAATAACTTAAACTTCAAATGGAAGCCAGGAAGGACAGAAATTCTTATTGTCCACACAAATTTTTGTTCAGAATAGCATTCTGGGCATGGCCTTGCAGAGGCATCTGTGTGAATGGACCACGGGCAGAATGGCTGCAGGAGGAGAGCTCTGCTTCTAGAACGGCAGTGAGCCCAATTCTGTTGCATAGCAGGAATGTACCATGTGAATCTCGGGGGTTCCCCGTTGTCTCTTTTGTGTTATTTCCAAAATCTTCACCACCAATGAAAACATGTCAAGGTACTGATTAAGTGTAAGTTTAATTTGATTCTATAACTTAACTTTTCTTTCTTTCACCAATACTTAGAATTTAAGCATTGTTCTATTTTTTCCATATTGGGGGAAAAAAAGCACTTTTCAAATGTTGAAACAATAAATGGGCTTACCCAGTATTCACTCATAAGAAGAAATATAAGGAGCATGTGACTAATTTATAATGAAATATGCTAACTTAAATTTTGGTACCAATAAAATAGGACTAAAACAAGATAGCTGCCAGACTTGTGTTTAAGTCCCAAATATGGTAAACATTTTCTCAATGTAAATAGCTAAGGCTATCCTATTTTTAAACAAACTGACTTTTGAGCTGGACATGGTGGCACATGCCTGTAATCTCAGTACTCCGGAGGCTGAGGCAGAAGGATCATGAGTTCAAAGCCAGCCTCAGCAAAAGCAAGGTGCTAAGCAATTCAGTGAGACCCTGTCTCTAAATAAAATACATAATAGGGGTGGGGATGAGGCTCAGTGGTCGAGTGCCCTTGAGTTAAGTCCCTGGTACCAAAAAAAAAAAAAAAAAAAAACCTGACTTTTGAGTTGGAAGGGTAAGTAAACTACATTATCTTTGGTTTTAGATCTTTAATCATAATAAAGTAGTTTCGAGTTAAAAGAGCTTTCAGAGAGGTTATCTAATTCAGCTGTCTGGTTTTAAAGATTCTGGAACTGAGGTATCCTTGAAAGATTCCAAGGCTGAGTTTTTGTTAGTTCATCTTGAATTAACAAGATGTTTGAAATGAACCCCTATATCAAATACATGCATGAATGGTCATTTTTCATTTATCTGATAATTGGAAACAGTTTTTGCATTTGAATAACCTAAACTTTATCAGATTACCTTGCTTAATCTAACTGAGGAATTTCCTTTCTGATTTGCAGGTGCCTTATCGCTTACATGCAGTTCTTGTTCATGAAGGACAAGCAAATGCTGGACACTACTGGGCCTATATCTATAATCAACCCCGGCAGATCTGGCTGAAGTACAATGATATATCTGTTACTGAATCTTCCTGGGAAGAACTTGAAAGAGATTCCTATGGTGGCCTGAGAAATGTTAGTGCTTACTGTCTGATGTATATTAATGACAAGCTACCACACTTTAATGCAGGTAAAAAGATCTTTAACAGAACCCAGAGACTGGGGGAAATCTGTACCACCCAGGGAGGAGGATGGTCTCTCATTTCTTTTGCATAAATTTATTGTTATGTAATTAATATTTCACTTAAAAGATAAAAGCAGTAGAAAAGAGGAAAAATGAATTTGCTTTTCTACTTCCATCCTTGACAAGTGGTCCTGCTCTTCGGCAAGTATAAAGTATATAGTCTTTAAGAAATGTTCTCTGTGTATGCTAGATTGTATTTATCTATCCTGTCTCCCTCATTGACCCTGCCAAGGGATATTTTTCTGTTCAGTTCTGCACCTGTTTCATTAATGGAGTGTTTAATGATCTTTATAATTTCAAAAATAGGTCCTCATTTTTTTGAACAACTGTATAATAATTCCATTGTATCTGACACAGTTTATTTAATCAGCTTCCCATTGATAGAGTTTTTAATTATCTCTAGTTCCTCCGTGTCTTTTTAGTGAGATCCTTTTTTTTTTTTTTGTACCAAGGATTGAACTCAGAGGCACTTGGCCACTGAGCCACATCCCCAGCCCTATTTTGTATTTTATTCAGCGACAGGTCTCACTGAGTTGCTTAGCCCTCTCTTTTGCTGAAGCGGTCTTTGAACTCACGATCTTCCTGCTTCCCGAGCCAATGGGATTATACCACTGTGCCTGGCTTAGTGACATTCTTACACATATAGTTTTGCACCTTTAGGACAGCTAAATTTTAAAGGCATATTTTCCTAAACAGTCTCATTTCTCATAATACTAAGAGCAATGATAATTATTATTTATTAGTATTTTATTCCTTAATACATTCTTTCAAATTTATATCTATAATATAACTCTAAAAGGGAGGTAGGCAGGGTAGAAATCCTTATAATCCTCATTTTCCAGCTAGGTAGCAAGCTTTCAGGGAGTCTACAATTGTCTAGGTTCTATAACCATTAAATAAATGTCAGGCCATAGATTTAAATTCAGATCTGACTCCTAATTCTATTTATATTATTCTCTCTTCCTTTTAGTCTTCTGTGAGTGATCTTTATGACCAGCATTTTATGTGTAAAATAATAGAAGGCTTTTTTCTCAGAGACTGAGGAAGACCCTGTCTCAAAATAAAAAGACAGGGGATTATAGCTCAGAGTGCTTGCCTAGCATGTGCAAGTCCCTAGATTCAAACCCTGTACCCCTGGGGAATGGGGGAGTGAGGGGACCTGGGTGGAGGGAGGCGTTCATTCTTTTAGTACTCAAACTCTGTTAGTGTGCAGAAGTAAGGAAACATGAGCCAGGGGGCTGGGGTGGTGGCTCAGTGGTAGAGTGTTCGCCTAGCCTGCATGAGGCACTGGGTTCGATCCTCGGCACCACATAAAAACAAACTAATATATCCACCTAAAACTAAAGATACATAAATAAATAAATATTTTTTAAAAAAGAAAAAAACATGAGCCAGGGCGCGGTGGCACATGCCTGAAATCCCAATGCCTCAGTGGCTCTAGAGGCTAAGACAGGAGGGATCACTAGTTCAAAGCCAACATCAACAAAAGTGAGGCATTAAGCACTCGGTGAGACCCTGTCTCTAAATAAAATACAAAATAGGGATGGGGATGGGGTTCAGTGGTTGAGTGCCTCTGAATTCAATCCCCAGTATTCCCCCAAAACAAACAAACAAACATGCAAGGCATTTTGTCCAGGCAGCACATTATCTTCCTGATATGCTAGTGTGGTTTAGGAATATGAGATGAAGAGAATGTTCATTTAGTAATAACCAGTGTTCAAAATCACATGTTTACAGTGTAAAGGAACAAATAGCTGCTTGTTGGAGTTATTGTGCAAATGACTATACTAGCTGTTGGTTATATGTAGGAGCCTTGCTATTCCTTGCATTATTCCTTTTTATATTGTAGAAACAAACAAGTAGAAACTTTTGTTTGCTTAGTGAAAAGGCTAGTTGATGCCAATCAATAAGTGAATGTGTTGTTCTGCTGTAGGTTTTGTTTCAGTTTGGTCACAGGATTAGAAAGAGATTTAATGTGTCCTTGATAAGCTTGCATTTTTTCATCATAGCTTTTGATGAGCCAGATATTATAGACCATCTGAACCATTGCTGCATATTGCTTTATAATAGGGCTTTGATTGTGTGAAACTTGAGGAAACAGAAATGCCTTGAAATTTCTATTTAACCCTCTGGAGATAGGTGGACATTCTTATCAATAAGTACAATGGCTCAATTGATAAAACTTTTTAGCATAACATTAACATTGTATCTTGATTTTTTTTAATTTTTAAGAAATGTTTGGCATACCCAGTGATTGATCATGATTCCAAATCCTTTTTACCCTGTATCATTTATTCCTTCATTCATTTAGCGCGTATTTAATACGTGCCTACCTACTACTATGCCAGGCACTGTTACTGATATGCTATGCTTTCTGACCTTATATTGTCAGTATTTCTTTCCTTCCACATGTTTTTACTGGTGCATTATAATTGTACATAAAAGATAGGTTTTGTTGTTACACGTACATCCAAGCACACAGTATAATAATACAATTTGACCAGTATCACTTCCCAGCACTTACCCCTCCTCCCCCCTCACCCCTTTTCTCTACTGATTTCCCTTTGATTTTTATGAGATCCCCACCCCAACCTTTCTTTTCCGTATTCCTTTGTAGCTTTCACATATGAGAGAAAACATAACGATCCTTGTCCTTCTGAGTTTGACTTATCATAATGGTGTTTAGTTCCATTTTCCTGCAGATGATATAATTTCATTTTTCTTTATGGTTGAATTAAACTCCATTGTTGTATATAGACCACATTTTCCTTGTCTGTTCATGCATTGATGGACACCTAGGCTGGTTCCATAGTTTGGCTGTTGTGAATTGTGCTGCTTTAAACATGGGTATGCATGTATCACTGTAATATGGTTTAATTCTTTAGGATGAATACGAAGGAGTTGTGTAGCTGGGTCATATGGTGATACCATAACTATTCTTTTGAGGAATCTCTATACTGATTTCCATAGTGGTTGTACTAATTTACAATGCTCCCAACAGCTTAATAGTGTTCCTTTTCCTCCACATCCTCTGCAGAATTTATTATTATTATCTGTATTCTTGATATATTGTCAGTATTTCTGATTAATTGTACATGTATGTATGTGTTTTTAATTAGGGGCAAGTCAAAAGATAAAATGTTCTGTTTTCTTCCTTTCTGGAAAGGAACTTTTGATTCTTAAGAGATTTTTTTCTGGATGGTACTCCACTTAATTCTGTCTTTGGTTTTTCTCAGAGGCAGCCCCAGATGAAGCTGATCGGATGTTAGGAGAAGTAGAAGCACTGTCTGTTGAACTCAAACATTACATTCAAGAAGATAACTGGCGGTTTGAGCAGGAAGTAGAAGAGTGGGAAGAAGAACAGTCTTGCAAAATTCCTCAAATGGAATCCTCCACCAGCTCCACATCACAGGATTTCTCTACCTCACAAGGTATCTGAGAAGGCCATATGTCCGTGTTTTAATAGCATGTAAGTTGCACACCAGACAGCCCTATGTACCCCAGCTGATCAAGCAATACTTTTATCTTTACAATGTTTAATTTATAATTGGCTTTGCATAACCAGATAGAGTAAATTTGTGACTTCAGAATGTGATTTCTGATAAATGGAAATAATATCAGAAGACTACCTGTCCTTTGTACATATAGTTTTGCTAATTTCTCAGGTTGTAAGGGAAACTATAATAGATTGATAGGTAGACTTTATGAAAGCTGTCCTCCAAAGAAGATCTTCCTTACAGAAGGATTTTGCGGGGAGTCTTCTGGGTGTAAAGAAATATGACAAAGTTGAGAGCATAATTTAACAGAATCATCAGTGGATTTTTGCTGAAATAGCCATTTCTTGTTATCACTAGTTTCTCTTTAAAAGATGTGTTAGAAGTGTTGTGTATTAAACTGTGTATCTATTCTGCTTGCCAGATATCTGAGTGTCCTAGTCATTATTTATCAGTGGAAGCTAATGTCTTTGTGTGGTTCTTTGTCAGACCCTCCAGCAGCCTCTTCTCATGGGGCTCGCTGCTTGTCATCTGAGCATGCTGTGATTGTGAAGGAACAAACAGCCCAGGCAATTGCAAACACAGCACATGCCTATGAGAAGAGTGGTGTAGAAGCAGCACTGAGTGAGGTAAGACTGACTAGGAGGCTGAGATTCAAGAGTGTCTGACTTTCAACAGTAAATGCGAACTGTCTCACATTTCTGTTATTCTGTGTCTCTTCTGCATTTAACCAATCCCTCTTTATTTCTCCTGTTTTTTTTTTTCCTTACTCTTTTTTTCTATTCTGCTGCCACAGCTTAAGGAAGCTGAACCCAAGAAGCCCATGCCCCAGGAAACAAACCTTGCAGAGCAGTCAGAGCAGCCCCCAAAGGCTAATGATGCAGAGTCTGCTGCCCAGCCTAATTCTGAGGTCTCTGAAGTCGAAATTCCCAGTGTGGGAAGGATTCTGGTTAGATCTGATGCAGATGGATATGATGAGGAGGTACAAAGATGAGTGTAGGAATTAGCTATTTGTTGTCAGTCTTATATTTCCTTCTCATGTGACAGTATACTTTTAAAAGGTGTCTGGCAGCCAGGCGCGGTGGCTCATGCCTGGTAATCCCAGTAGCTCAGGAGGCTGAGGCAAGAGGATCGCAAGTTCGAGGCTAGCCTGAGTAACTCAGTGAGGCCCCAAGCAACTTGGCGAGACCCTGTCTCAAAAAATAAAACACTCTGGGGATGTGGCTCAGTGGTTAAGCATCCCTGGGTTCAATCCCTAGTACCAAAAAAAAGTATCTAGAAATACAGCTAATATTTTTCATTAAAACAAATAATTGACAAGAAGTCCCATATGGTTTTGACCTTAATTACTACTTTTTAAAAGATAATTTTATTTCTACTGTGCACTGTTTCTTTCTGTATGTGTATATATATTTATTCAGTATTATACTTAGGGGAACCACTTCAGAATCTAGATGGCTCAGAAAGGTAGAATTTAATTCTTATTTTGGTATTATGAATAAGAATTTCCTTCTAGGGAATTTTTATGGTTTATATTAGTCAATTGTTTTTCCTCCAAATAGAAATTTGTCCAATGAGCAAAACAAATCTGGATTAAAGTTGTTTTTGCTTTCAATTCTTTATCAAGAAAGCTAGTTTCAAAGTTTTATTGAAGCAGCTGTAGAATCCCAAGGTATTCATTTTTACTACACATAAAATAGTCATGAATCCTATCTCTCAGATTTCCATTTTTTCCTATGGGTGTTTTGTTTTGTTATTTTATTTTTTTCCCCTAAATCATCATTGGAAGGTTTTCATTTTATAGTCATATTTGTGTAGCTCCTAGTTTCCAGACTGTTTTAATATGCCACTTATCCAGCTACAGCTCTAAAGTACTTGTGTATTTAAGCTGTGTGCCCAAAGTTACAGAACTAAATTACAATTGGGTCTTAGACAGTTCCCCTCAAGAGCTATAGTTTAATTCAATTCTTCAGCAGTGCCATATTGGAGATAATTTTGGACATACATCTTCATCTTGCTCAGTTAGAAATGTATAATAGAGGAATAGCTCATCATGGGCACTGTGTTTATGTTCTATAAGGGGAAGAGGCTATGCATGCACATAGGAATAGAGTATTGAAACTTGTATCCGTGCTGGCCAAGGAGCACACTGCTCTACTTTCTTTTAGCACTCTCTTTACCTTGCTTTCATACAGTCTTCTTTTGAACCTTTCTTTCCTTTTTCTCTCTGTTTTGTGCCCTCTTGTGGTAGGTGATGCTGAGCCCTGCCATGCAAGGGGTCATCCTGGCCATAGCTAAAGCCCGTCAGACCTTTGACCGAGATGGGTCTGAAGCAGGGCTTATTAAGGTATCTCTGTTTTCAAAATTGTAATATTTAAACCAGCTATCCTAATATTGGGGCAATAATTATAAATGTGGAGAAATGTGTTTTTTAATTTAGATCATTCAAGTGAAATATAAACCTTCCCTTCATGTCCAACTAATGAGCAAGCTGTCCCAGAATACTATTGGCTCCTCTCCTCTTGGCACTCACCCAGCCTGTTAGCAGTGCCACTCTCTGTTACATCTAGCCTACAGGGGCTGTTGCTTTTGTCAGTAGATGTCCATTACTAAAACTGTAGATGATACTGTTGCCTTTGTGATTTGGGGGCCTTATTATAAGAAAGTATATCACAGTGTTAAGTTATTTGAATAAAATTTAAGATTCTTGAATTAGGTTACATTTGTATAGATTTCTAAAAACAAAAAAATCAACTCATTATTTTTTATTTTTTAAGAACTTGAAAAAAAAATTTCTCTTATAATTTGTGACGCCAGTTTCATCCTTTATGATATGCAGACAACTTAAAAGGTTCCCTAATTGATTTTATAATTCCTTAATGAGAAGAATTCCTTAGCATTATCATGGAGTTATGAGATTCTCCAGACCTTGGGCATCATTTTTTGTGTGCAGAAGTCTGCAAATATACCCTTTTCTAACTATAAATTCTGTCTTTAATAGGCATTCCATGAAGAATACTCGAGGCTCTACCAGCTTTCTAAAGAGACACCTACCTCGCACAGTGACCCTCGACTCCAGCATGTCCTTATCTACTTTTTCCAAAATGAAGCACCCAAAAGAGTAGTAGAACGAACCCTTTTGGAACAGTTTGCAGATAAAAATCTTAGCTATGATGAAAGGTGAGAAGGATGTACTCAGGTGAATCAGCCTCCATCTATATTAGGAAGAGGTTTGGCCTGGCACCCATTCATTACTTGGTTAACTTTCTCCCATGCAGATCAATCAGTATTATGAAGGTGGCTCAGGCTAAACTAAAGGAAATTGGTCCTGATGACATGAACATGGATGAGTATAAGGTGAAGTCTTTTTTTTTTATTTCACCATTATAGCAAAACTTTATTCTGAAGGCAAATGGTACCTGAGGCAAAATTAACAATTTTGTATTATCACAGACTGGACTTGTTTCTCTCCCCACCACAGAATCAAGAAAGAATAGATAAACAGTCTTTACTTACCCTCAGAATAGAGGTCTCTCTATTTCCATACTCCTTTTAGAATGATGCAGTTTCATTTCCTTTTAAGTACCTACTTGAGCCTTGTAGGCAATAAAATTTCTTGAAAAGACGCTTTCGGATTTAAAAAATGATGCTGTTTTCTAATATGTATTAAAATACATACAGCTATAATTTTTAAAAAAGTCATTGTATTCTAAGAAACTATTTTACCACCAAAGTATGCTTGTCTCACACTAAGTATGAGGTGGTTCTCTGTGACATGCAATAGCCTTGTACTTTGATCCTCCCTGGATGGTCTTGTCAGGATTTTTTGATACGATTGTTGGAAATTCAGAGAATAAATTCTAAAGCTCATGTGAAATATTTCTGTTCCTCAGTGAAAGAAATAGAACGTTTAAAACTAAGGTCAGTGGTAGAATTTTATTCTAAATGTTGAGTAGTTTTCTCTTTTTCTTTATTTCTTTGCAGTACTGAGGAGTTAACCCAGGGGTGCTCTACCATTGAGCTATAACCTCAGTCTTTTTTTTTTTTTTTTTAATTTTGAAACAGGTGTCTCTAAGTTTCCCAGGCTGTCATCAAACTTGAATTTCTTCTGCCTCAGCCTCCTGGGTGGCTGGACTTATAAGAGTGTGCCATTGTGCCCAACCTTGAATAAGGTTTTATATAAAAGTTGTATTTGTTGTTTTGGACGTGGCCAAATGTGCTCAATAAATATTTGTACTGAATTTAAAACTCAGTGTGGGAAATGCAGCAGTAGAGTACTGAGAACAAATCATTAATAACTGTCATTCCTTTTCAGAAGTGGCATGAAGATTATAGTTTGTTTCGAAAGGTGTCTGTGTATCTCCTAACAGGACTGGAACTCTATCAAAAAGGAAAGTATGTTGTTGGCCTTTGATTTTATTAAAAACTTGGTCAGGACAGTGTTACTTGCTGATGCTCACCTAGAGTCACAGCCATGACCTTCCTCGTCACACATTAATGCACTGTGTCACTTTATCCGGTGCTTCACTTCAGTTTTGCTGTGAACATCACACATTTAATTTCATTCTTCAAATAAGCATAAATTTACTAGTAAAGTGATACATAGTGCCATTTTGTTTTGGTGGTGCTGGGGATTGAACCCAGAGCCCCTGCATGTGGCCAAATGCTTACCATTGAGTCACATCCCCAGTTTCTCAGACTTTCTCTGTGACAAATAAGAATGTACTCAGAACATTAATGAATTTTTGAAGTTGTCATGTACCCCAGTGAGCATCTAGTTCCCTTCTTTGATTTAGAAAGAGGAAAAACTGAGACCTAGAGAAGTTTCCAGATTTGCCTTGGGTTTCTTGACAAATTTTTAGAAGAGCTGAGGATGGCCATGGTTCTTGGCCCAGAGGCTCCTCTTAGTATATCAAGCTGAGCTCATCTTTAAGATTTTTCTATAATTGCAACCAAGTAGATTCTTGTATTAAGAAACAGTTGGGTCTAATCCCTAAATTTTGGTGGAGAAGAACTCAGCTGTGGTTTATCTCCTGTTTTCTAAGGTACCAAGAAGCATTGTCCTACCTGGTGTACGCCTACCAGAGCAATGCTGCTCTGCTAATGAAGGGGCCCCGCAGGGGGGTGAAGGAGTCAGTGATTGCTTTGTACCGAAGAAAATGCCTTCTGGTTTGTACTCTTTGTGAAGCCTTAAGAAGATGTGTGAATGTGTGTGTGTGTGTTTATCTCTGCTGTTGGAACCATGGTGAGATATAACCTAAACAAGAATTATCTCTAGCAGATTTTGGATTTTTTTTTCCAATTCTTGTGAGCAGTTTTACATTGGGACAGGTTCTTTTATAATACCTTAAGTGAATATCATTCTTCAACCTGTAATAGAAGTTGAGAGGCCAGCTTTTCCTTTTTGTGCCCTTCCTGTGTGCCTGCATTGTGGTTTTGATGGCCTTACTTCCCTGCTACATGGTAAGTTCACTGAGCAGAGAGACTTTTCTTATTCAGCTGTTTTCCTCGAGACTGACACATAGAGTGCATGTGTGGTATTTTTTTCTACTGTTCCCTACTAAGCTAACAGATGAAAGTTTTAGGGACTCCACAGGGGATTTTTTGTTTGTTTGTTTTGTTTTTGTTTTTTCTTTTTTTTAAGGTAAGAAGCATAATAATTAGTCCTACTGTCATGCTGGCATCATTGTGATATACCAGTTAAAACTAAACCTACTCTGGCCTGTTTTGCATTCAGCAACACAGAAAGGCAGATCTAATCAATACCCTCTGCCTACCCAAGGGTGCATACCCTGCTCTTCCTTCAGAGAACTATTGAGGGTCTTGCCTTCTGATTGAGTGCTCGTGTTCATTTTCCCTAATACCCAGGAGCTTGGCCCTTGACAGGTAGGCCATCATTCCTACCACTGTCTGATCTTCTTAATAACAAGCAGAGGATGCTAAATCATGACATGTTCATCTCACCAGTTTCATTTTCTGATTTATATTTGTTTTCTGTATCAGTTATAGGTGTGACATGCTACTTTGAAACTGGAAAAGGGGGCACGAAAATTTGACATATCTGAATTTTATTAGAGCCAATGCTTTTATAACAGATTAACATCTTAAACATCCTATGCAGCTTACAGAGTAGCACAGTAACAGGGTTTTAGTCTTATTCATTACTGGCTTTCATCCCCTAAATATATCAGAATCACATAGGGAGCTTTCATATGTAGTTATTATTCAGGTCCCTCCCCAAATAGTTAAACCAGAATTCTAGGGAGGGGCCTGCTCATTGGTGTGTCTTCTGCAGATGATTCTGATGCTCAGTGGAGATTGAGAACTATTAAATTAGTCTTTTGGTATAAGCAGATATTAAGCATGACCTTGACATATAAGTTTAGGTTAGCAGATCACTAACTAGATTGCATTAGAATCACTTGGGGAACTTTTATTATAAAATCCTGATGCCCTAGTCACTCACATGCTAATTAAATCAGCATATTTGGCCTGGGAACTAGGCATTCGTGGTCCTTCTGCCCTGGTACTAGGGATTGAACCTAGGGGTGCTCTACCACAGAGCTACATCTCTAGCCTTTTTAAATTTTATTTTGAAACATGATTTTGCTCAGTCTCCCAGGCTAGCCTCAAACTTGGGATCTTCCTGTCTCAGCCTTCCCAGTAGCTGGGATTACAGACATGTGCCACTGTGCATGGCAGCATCAGTGTTTTTTAAAGATCCCTAGGTGATTCCATTGTGCAGTAAAATGTGGGAACTACTTGTTTAAACTCTTACTAAATAAATATTTATCTTTTTCAGACTGTATCTCCCCCTACTCTATATTTTATCTGTAGGAGCTGAACGCCAGAGCGGCTTCTCTCTTTGAAACAAATGATGACCACTCTGTAACAGAAGGCATTAATGTGATGAATGAGTTGATAATTCCCTGCATTCACCTTATTATTAATAATGACATCTCCAAGGATGATCTGGATGCTATTGAGGTCATGAGAAACCATTGGTGTTCTTACCTTGGGCAAGATATTGCAGGTGTGTTGGCACCTATAATAATTTCTATGGTTTTAGGAATTCTACAAATTTCTATGGTCAGGTTTTAGCACTGGGTGTTAAGCCCTTTAGGATGTTGGAACTCACCAGCATGTGAGTTAAGTGGATCTGCTGTACGGAAATACGAGGTGTGAGTCTGGGCTCTTAATTTTTCCTGTGGCTTGAAGTTATAAGAATATCACAAACTGTGATGACCTCAAGACTGATAAATTAGTATGCAGACCCATCCTTTTAATATTTGCAGTTTACTTAGGCCATGTGTAAGCTTTACTTAATGTAGTATATACACAATGGTGTATTTTAAGCATTTGAAAGAAAATAGCACCATTATCTGTATGGTACAGGGTATCATATCCACTTTCTGAAATTTTAAAAGTACACTTGATTAGAAGACCTGTCCACAATAAAGTGAATATGTGGTATAACTGCCAACAACACATAGCTTACAGCAGTATATTTGGTATATTTGGCAGGTAGATCTTTGTTCCTGATTGTTCTAAAGGAATCAATGTTTGTTGTTAGCTTTGAACTTTGAGATTGGGTAATGAGCTGTCTGAAGACCTTACCATATAGTTGTAGGCTTATTATTTTTTACTTGGAGATGTAGTTAACTCTATGTGTGACCATCTATTTTACAGAAAATCTGCAGCTGTGCTTAGGGGAGTTTCTGCCTAGGCTTCTGGATCCTTCTACAGAAATCATTGTCTTGAAGGAGCCTCCAACTATTCGACCCAATTCTCCTTATGACCTTTGTAGCAGATTTGCAGCTGTCATGGAGTCAATTCAAGGAGTTTCAGCTGTGACAGTGAAATAAGCTCACTTATGTTCAAAGCTTGCTGTGGTCTCTGGCTGCCTACCTATTATGGTCAGAGTCACACTATTCACCTGGGGAAAGGGATTAAGTGGTCGAGTAATATTCGGTTTCACACCCCACCCATGTTGTGCATTTAAAGGAGGATTAAAGATAAAATTGCACTTTTTAGGTACAGAATCATGAAAGCTATTTCACCAAGATAAGACAGGAGCCAGGTATTAAAGTATTGAGTTATGCCTGAAGACCTGAAATGCCTTTGAACTATAATGCTTGGGCTTTTCTAAGCCTCTTGTCTCTTTTCAAATTATTCTAAAGGCCTAAATATTTTTGACAGCAGAACATAAGAGTGACTCATCAGACCCCCAAACCAAATGAACAGCTACTATTTTATCAAATCCAAATGACATTTAAAAATACTAAACTACAAGAAAGTAGTAATGTTGCTTGGCTTTTGACAGGGGATGATAAAATGTGTTGCTGATGAACCTCTCTACCCTTTTACATGTGGGTAGAATATAAGGTCACATGGCAGTAAGATGCCAAAAAGTCAAAGGAAAACTGCCTCTCCTTCCTTTCTTCTCTATCTTTTATATTTTTAGATAAACCAGAAAACCTCATACTCAGTCCTGAGAGAATGAAAGAAAAGCGATTGAGGACTTTGACAGAATAGCATTGTGAAGCTTGATTAAAGATAGCGTTTTTAATAGTTGTTAAACATTTAGGCAGAGTTTTCTGGTATCTGAAAATTGTCAAGAAGGATTGTCTAAGGCTGCTGCCTAAGACTATAATAAGAACACTTTGTTTGATTCCTCATTTTTTGCTTTTAAAAACTAAGAGATGTGGATTTGTAAAAAGAAAAAGAATATCTATCTATATATATGTATATGTAGAGAGAAAACTGTTTTTAAAGGACTTTTAATTGGGAATTATGTTTTAACAAATTTTAAAAATTAAGGGAGGAATCATGGGAGGGAAGAACACTTAATACAACTATGCAGATTTTATAAATGTGCAATAAAGTATTTGTTTTACCTTTGGTGTGCAGTATGACCCTTATTTAAATACATTTTTCCATTTTGAAAATGGATGGACTCTGTAAACATTTCAATTTTTCTTCTTTAAAAGAAAAGGGCAGATTAAAAAGTTGAGAAACTCTGGCTGAGGTTGTGGCTCAGAGGTGGAGCACTTGCCTACCATGCGTGAGGCACTGGGTTTTATCAGCACCCCATAAAAATAAAATATTGTGTCCACCTATAAGTAAAAAAATAAATATTAAAAACATAATAGAGTTGAGAAACTTGATGGGTCAGGAGGTGCCAGCATTTGAAAGAGCAAATGCATTCAGTTCCTGAGCAGAACCTTCTCATGTCATTTGCCCATTTGCATTGCAAATGAATGTGTAAGCATATTCACTTTGTAATTTGTTAAGTTCTAGAATGAAAAAACATTTTTTTCTTAAAACTGAATTTCTTGTGCGTGACATATTGGCTCATTAGCATCTCAAGTTCAAAGCCAGTCTCAGCAACTTGGCAAGACCCTAAACAACTTAGTAAGATCCTGTCTCAAAAAGGACTGGGGATGTGATTCAGTGGTTAAATACCCTTGGGTTCAATTTATAGTTCCAAAAAAAAAAAAAACAACTCTGAATTTCTTAGTAGTGGCCCATCTTTTATAGATATTCAGAAGAGCTTTTGTGTTTTCCAGTTCCCCATAAAGGTTTGTTTCAAGGGAAGTTATCTTACCCATTTTACTATTTGAAATCCTATTCACCACCCTTTGCCTTTCACTTATTAGTCCCTGTCATTATTAAGTACTGTATGCAAAGTGCTTCAGTGATATTAGCCCTGGGCTGGGCATGGTGGTACACACCAGTAATCCCAGTCATTCAGGGACTGAGGCAGGAGAATTACAAGTTAAAGGCTAGTCTGGGCAATTTTAGTGAGACTCAGCCTCAGAATAAAATATGCAAATCCTTGGAATATAGCTCAGTAGCAGCAACCCTAGGTTCAATCTCCAGTACCATAAATTCATAAATATATACATAAAATAACAACCCTGTGATGATGGTAGGTAGGTACCATGGTTTTCCAAGGTTAGAATACTAATCCTTGGTGTGTCTGTCTTCATCATCTGTTCTTTTAATGACTGTTAGTTGTGCATGTTGTAAAATACTTCGTTTTGTCCTTTTTGTTTGTTAATTATTTCCTGGTCAGCTGTTGAAAATCTACATTTGGCCAAGAAAGGAACACAGATGGTGTAGTTTCTGTTGCTCCCTCTCTGTTTTCTTTGGATCCACTCAGACCACCAGAGGGAGTGCTGACACCATTTTTTTTTCACTACATAGCTGACTGCTTTTGGGTAGAGCATCGTTTCCTACAGGGCTCCACAAATTAAGGTCTCAGATAGTTTTTTACCATCCTCACACAACTTTTACATTTTTTTAAGCATTAGAAAAAAGGGCAAGGAGAAGGAGAGCATGAGGAGGATGTAGAAGCAGTTTACAAGCCCTTAACCTAAAATTGAAGAGTTTGAGCAGGATATTGGACTGCAACATAGATCCCCTTTAGACTATGTTTGCATTTTCCACAGTTAACTGGGATTACAATCTTCTTGTTTGATTTTGTTATCTTCAAGAAGTGGGAAGCATTTAAACAAATTTTTAACTTGCTCACTTCAGGAAAGAAGTCCAGGTAGATACATAATAGCTATTTTGGTTTAGATATGTGGTAACCCCAAAAGAGCATGCAAGAATTTTCAGCAAAACAATAAGTGAACAAGAGGCAGAAATTGGATGTAAAGCCAGGCATGTAAGTGCAGACTTGTAATCCCAGTGACTTGGGGGTGGGCGGGGTGAGGGGCTGAAGCAGGAGGATCACAAGTTCTAGGCCAACCTCAGCAACTTAGACCCGGTATTAAAATTAAAAAAAAAAAAAGGATTGTGGATACAGCTCAGAGGTAGAGTACCCCTGGGTTTGAATTTCTGTACCATAAAAAGCAAAAAGGGAATTATATGGAGAATTGTGAATGTAGCAGGGATGGAAGAGGGAATTAATTGAGCCAGAATTCATGAAGCTATAGTTTATTAATTTTCATTGTTCAATATATTGTATTTCATTATATGAGTACATTTCAAAATTATACAAATTGTCATTTGTGTTATTACCAGATTTTGGTTATTATGCATGATGCTACCAAAAACCATTCATATATATCTTTTGATGCACACAAAAATGTATTTCTGTTGGTACAAAATTAGGAGTGGAATTACTTGTTTATAGGAATATCTGGATACAGATATATCTTTATTAGGTATTGCCAATTTTTCAAAGTGAGTATACCAAATTAGGTTCCCACCAGCAGATCATGATTTCCAGTTGTTTCATATCCTTGTCAACATTTTGTCAGAATTTTTAAGTTTAGCAATTCTGATGTCTCGTGGCTTTATTTTAAACTTTCCTACATACCAATGATCTTGTGCATTTCTTTATTTACTTATTGTCCTTTAGTCATTATCTTGTGAAGTACCTAGTGGGGTTTTTTTGTTTTTGTTTTTTGCCTCTTGTTGTTTGTCTTTTTTTTTTATAGTATTCTTTTTATTTTTATTTTAACTCAGGGGCACGCAGCCACTGAGCCACATTCTCAGTCCTATTTCGTATTTTATTTAGAGACAGGCTCTCACTGACTTGCTTAGCATCTTGCAGTTGCTGAGACTTTGAACTTGAGACTTTCCCATCTCAGCCTCCTTAGACACTGGGATTGCAGGTGCATGCCACCATGCCTAGCTGCATGCATTCTTCTGGTTGCAAAAATTTTAATGGTTGTGTATGTTGTATGTATTATCTCCCATTCTGTGGCTTTTACCTCTTGGTATCTTTTGATTAAAATAATTTTGATATTAATGTAGCCCACTTTATTACTCTTTTTAAAAAATATTCTTAGTTGTAGATGGACACAATATCTTTATTTTGTTTGTTTAGGTTTTGTTTTTTTATGTGGTGCTCAGGATCAAACATGCATGCTAGGCAAGCACTCTACCACTGAGCCACAACCCCAGCCACTTGTCTTTTGCTTCATGATTAGTGCTTATCTTGTCATGTTGAAGAAATTATTGCTCAAGGTCATGAAGATATTCTGGATTTTCATTTTGAAATTTCACTTTTTGCTTTTCACATTTAATTGATTGACCTCACATGAAAACACTGTTGTTTTCCCAGTGCTCTACACTGCCATTTTTATCATAAGTCTAAAGTCTTTGTTCTTTTTTTGAGTTCTTTTATCTATTCCATTAGCCAATTTGTCTACTATACCAATACAATAAGTTTTGATTTCCAATATCATAAATTCTCCAGTTTTTACTTTTTCAAGATTGTCTTGACTAATGTTGGTCCTTTACATTTCCATATAAATTTTAGGATTGGTTTCACAACAGCACACTTAAATATCTAGAGATTTTGATAAGGTTTATGATGATTAGATAATGTGAGGAGAATTGAGATTCTGGTGTTGATGTCTGCTGATATATGTGTGTGTGTGTGTGATACTGGGGATTGGAGATTTGAACCCAGGTGTGCTGTACCACTGAGCTCACTAAATTGCCTAGGCTGACCTCGAACTTGTGATCCTTCTTGCTCAGTCTCCCAAGTCTAGAGTTTTAGGTGTATGGTGCTATGCCTGGCTAGGTTTTCTTAATTTCTACATAAAGGGCTTCCACATCTTCCAACAGACTTATTATTAGGTTTTTGATTATTTTCAAGCTTTTGTAAATGTCATTTTAAAAATTAAATTCTTGCTGGGCATGGTGATGTATTCCTGTAATTCCAGAGGCTGGGTTGGCTGAGGCAGGAGGGTAGTAAATTCAAAGCCATCCTCAGCAAAAGCAGGGCACTAAGCAACTAAATGAGACCCTGTGTCTAAATAAAATACAAAAAATAGAGCTGTGGCTGTGGCTTAGTGATTTAGTGCCCCTGAATTCAATTCCTGGAACTCAAAAACAACAAAAACATTTCTTTCTCTAGTGGTCTAGTGCTTCAAATTTTTAAATTACTTTTTTTTTTTTTGGTCCAGGGGACTGAATCCAGGGGTTCTTTGCCACTGAGCTACATCCCCAACCCTTTTTATTTTGAATTTGGATCTCGCTAAGTTGCTTAGGGTCTCACTGAATTGCTGAGGCTGGTCTTGAACTTGAAATTCTCCTGCCAAGCAGCTGGAATTACAGGCAAAAATTGCATTCTTTATTTATTTATAAGCAGTGTTGAGGATCGAACGAACCCTATGCCTCACAAATTCTAGGCAAGTGCTCCACCACTGAGCCACATCCCCAGCCCCAAAATTGTGTTCTTTATTATTTCTTGCTGGTATCTAGAAACAAATTGATGTTACTGTATCATCTCTGCATCCAATGATTTTTTTTTTGAGAAATAAATGTTTATTTTGGCTCATCCAATGATTTTGATAAATTAAGTTACTCTTAATAATTTATCTGTAGATTTTTAAATATTTCTTTTATACACAACTGTGTTATCTGTGAATGGTGATATTTATTTTGTTTGCTTTTTTTTTTGGTGGTGCTGGGGTTTGAACCCAGGGTCTTGTGCATGCTAAGCAAGCACTCTACCAACTGAGCTATATCCCCAGCCCTGATATTTATTTTGAATTCTTACAACTCTTTATTTAATTTTCTTGCCTGATCACACTTTGGTACAATGCTGAATAGAAATGGTGATGATCTTTGCCCTGTTCAACATTAAGTCGGATTGCTGTAAATTCCACTTGCTAGGTAAAGAAAGATCCATCTATTCCTAGTTTGCTGAGTGTGTTTTTTTAATCTTAAGTTTTTTAAAAAGTTGAAAAAAAAAGTCTTGAATTTTGTCAAATGCTTTATGTACATACAGAAAATTAATTTTCCAATATTTTGTTACTATTTGAATTATATTTATTGATTTCAAATTTAAATCAACCATGCATTGTCAGAATAATCTGGATTTGATCATGATTGTTTTTATATGTAGGTAGAATTTTGCTTAGAACTTCTATATA